CCCACCATGGACAGGGCCAATGTCATCTATAAGATCCCCTGCAGAGACTGAGAGAAACACTACATCGGACAAACAGGAAGGAAACTAACAACAAGAGTACATGAACACCAACTGGTTACAAAAAGACACGACCAATACTCACTCATCTCAATCTACATGGACAAGGAGAACCACCATTTCGACTGGGACAACACCAAGATCCTGGGACAAGCTAGGCAGAGACAGGCACGGGAATTCCTAGAAGCCTGACATTCCACGAAGCATGCTATTAATAAACATATTGAACTCGACCCCATATACGTTCCACTACGAAGGAAAACCGGAAGTGAGGCAATCCATCTCAACGGACCAGAGTTTAAAAACCAGGCGGGAAAATACACTGATGCTTCATCGGAGGCTGCATTGAGGATGTTACCCAGCATAGTAACGAAACGTCTGCGAAACAAGAAACCAGCCTGGCGAGCCAACCAATGTCAATAACCTCTTCTCATTAGAAAATATCTCTCTATCTGGAAACAACTCTGTGATCCTTCCCTGGGCTGTGTCCAATGCCACCATACCTTGCATTAGATAAGGGGGCCAAAATTGTTCACAGTATTCTAGCTGTGGTCTGGGTAGTGCATAGCTTTAGCAAGAACTTCCTACTTTTATACTCCATCTCGCCCAGAGCACTCTGTGCAGATTTAGTCTCCTTACCCTGGCAGGAGTTCAACAAGTTCATTTAATTTATTACTTTGGATGGCGAATGTCCTATGAGGTCAGATTGAATAGACTAGAACCATATTTTCTTGAATCTATAAGAATGAGAGGCAGATCTAATTGAAACATTTAATATTGTTAAGGGCTTGGCAGAGTAAATGCTGAGAAAATTGCCCAGGGATCTAAGCATGGGGGTCACAATCTCAATGTAATGGACATTCCACTTGGGGTTAAGAATAGAAATTTCTTCACACAAAAGGCTGTGAATCTTCAGAATTCTGTACCCTACAGAGTTGTGTATGCTTAGCCATGAGTATATTTATGACAGAGGTGCTAAGTGAATGAAGACAATAATGCAGAACGTGGTGCTGTGGCCATGATTTTAAAAAATGCGCTGACTGGTCTATGACCGTTTTTTTTGCCTTGAGTAACCTAATTTGCACCAAGTGCTGTTTATCAATCATCCCAATGCTTGCTAACCTACACTGTCTCCCTGTCTGACAAAGTAGATTTGAAAATTCTCATCATAGTTTTCAAATTCTTCTGGAGCCTTGTACCAGCCACTCTCTGCAATTGTCAAAGATATCCATGCTCCTACAAAATGGGCCTTGATGGTACATTCAATCTTGAAGTTACTCTACTAGTGACTGTGGTGTTTTTACTCATTTAGATCTAAACTTTGCAATCTTTTCTAAATCTCTTTAGCTCACTCTCTCCTAAAGCAGGCCCTAAACAAACTTTGATCATAGAATTCCTACTGTGTGAAAGCAGGCTATTTGGCCCATCAAACCCACACCTACCCTCCGAAAGCAGCCCACTCAAACCCACCTCCCCACAGTCACCCAAGGATGGAATTGAACCCAGGTCCCTGGCACTGTGAAGCTGCGGTACTAACCGCTGAGCCACCATGCCGCCCAAGAAATGAGGCTTGTCCGGGACTGGCCAAGCTTTGGCCAAGGTTTGGTGAAGGTTTTGGTTGCTTATCAAAATACCTCATTAGTGTGGTGTCAAATAATGTTTGATATAGCACCTGTGAAATACCATAGAATGTTATATGTTAAATGCGCCATTTGGCTACAAGTTGCTGCTCTTTACTGTCAGAACCAACAGTTGAAAAAGTACTGATAAAGAGATTTAGAAATAATTCATATTGACTACCAACCAGCTGGGAAATGCTTTGATTCCTTAAGGACATTAGCCTATTTTTAAAGATCTTCTTTGATCTTTCTTTTGATACATTGCCTTAAAGTGTGTGCTGAAAATATGAAACTATTATTTCCAGTTTGAACAGACATGATTGTGTAACTCCTCTGTCAATTAGAACTGAACACTGTACTGCTGTAAATGACTGGGACTGATTTTAGTTTAGATAACAAAGTTATCTCCACTCTCTTGATTGTGCTAGAAACATAATCCTGCTCTAGTCTGGAGATTCTGCTTGCATAATTCTGGTCATGTGTGCAGAGATGCTGCTTGTTGTAGTTCCAATTAGAGATGCATTTGCTGTATTTTAGGAATAAACAATTTCCACCTTACCACCAACTCATTGGCAACCACAACGGTGTCAATATTCATTTCATAAATTATGTTGTGGCTCTTCCAATTCTTTGTATTAATCAATGCAAACCATGCGCCAGTATTGTATTACTAATGTTAAAGGCTTAATTTGGATAAACAATAGAAAATTACTGAGAATGTTAAAACTTCTTTAAGTTTCAGATGATGTTTTATGGTATCATTAAACATTGCATATTGTATAATAAAACAAAAAAACTACAGATGCTCTCCGATCCAATCGTGACTTTGTCATCAAGCTGACTGTCAAGGTCGGTACTGTTGTCTGATATATTAACCTCTACATTGCGGAGGCCAAGTGCCAGCTCTCGAACACATCACTCGATTCCCCGGACTATGAACCCACCATTGAGGTGCTATTGTTTCCACAACCGTCACCAACCTCATCTCATCTGGGGATGTCCCCATCACTGCCCCCCAGCTCATAATCCCCTAACCCCAAACAGTCTGCTTCTGCCTTCTCCCCAAAATCTACAAACAGGACTGCTCGGGCGGACCGACTGTTACTACCTGCTCCTGCCCTATGGAAATTATTTCTTCCTACCTCAACTTGATTTTCTCTCCCCTTGTCCAGTTCCTTCCCACTTAAATCTGTGATTCTTCTGACGCTTTATGTCAGTTTAAAAGTTTCCACTCCGTGGCCTCCAGCCACTTCCTCTTCACTGCTACATGTCCACCCCCAAACAAGATGGTCTCAGGGCAGTCCGCTTCTTCCTGGAAAGAAAGCATAAACCCTCCCCCCATCCATCGCCACCCTCCTCCACCTGTCCAAGTTCATTCTCATTTGGAACAACTCCTTTAACTTCTCCCACTTTCCTCAGTTAAAAGCAGTGGCTATGGGTACCTCCATGGGCCTCAGTCATGCCTGGTACATTTCTTGTTCCAGTTCTACTCTGGCCTCCACCCACAACTCTTTCTCTGATACATCGATGACTTCATTGGTGCTGCTCCCTTCTCTTGTTTAGAATTGGAAATGTTTATCAATTTTGCTTCCAATTTCCACCCTGCTCTCACCCTCATCTGATCCATCTCTGACTCCTCCCTTCCTCAATATCTGTGTTTCCATTTCTGGGGACAGGCTGGCCACCAATATCTGTTACAAAACCACTGACACCCATAGTCACCTGGCCTATGCATCCTCACAACCTGCTTCCTATAAAATCTCCATCCCATTCTTCCAGTTTCTCCATTGCATTTGTTCTGATGGTGCCATCTTCCATAGCGGGCCCTCAGAAACGTCCACCTTTTTCCTCAACCGAGGATTCTCTGCTACCGTGATTGACAGGGCTCAGCCTTGTCTCACCCACCTCCCACACTTTCGCCCTCACCTCTTCTCTTCCTTTCCACAACAACAAGGGGTTCCCCGGTCTCACTTACCATTGCTAGTCTTTGCATCCAAAGGGTTGTAAGCTGCCATTTCCATCACCTCCAGCGAGATGACACCACCAGACCGTATTTCCCTCCCTAACTTTGTCAGCATTCTGAACGGTCTGTTCCCTCCATTCCTAATAGCTCCCACACTGCCATGGCACCTTACCATGCAATTGCAGAAGGTGTAACACCTGCTTGTTTATTTCCTCCCTCCTCGCTGTCTAGGGCCCCAGACAAACCTTCCTAGTGAAGCAGTGATTTACCTATACTTCACTCAATCTAGTCTCCTGTACTTGCTGTTCGCATTCAGTCTTCTCTACTTTGGGGAGATGAAACACAGACAGGATGACCATTTTTGTAGAACACCTACTTTCTGTCCATAAAAACGATCCTGAGCTTTTAGTTGCTTGCCACTTCAAAATACCACGTTCCCACGTCAACATCTTTGCCTCAAGCCTGCTGCAGTCCCTCAGTGAGCCTCAGAGCAAGCTCAAAGAACAGTGTCTAATCTTTCGCTTGGGGACCCTGCAGCTTCTAGAACTCAACATCAAGTTCAATAACTTTAGAGCCTGAACATATCCTTCTATTTTTTTTTAACCCAACCCACACCCAGGTCCTGTCATGACATGGGCTGCTTTCAGCACAGCCAACCCACCGTCACCAACTCTTAGTCCTATTATCACATTACCCAGGTTGCTTTAAGCACATCATCACTTATTCAGCTTCTCTTTTCTGGCTTACTATCAATAATCCTTTTGTCTGCCTACTCCTTTCATAGCTCTTTCTTTTTCTCTCTCTCTCTGGGCTCCATCTCCACCTAGGACGCCCTGCCTCTCCACACCTCCCTCCATACCCCAAAACCCCTCGCCTAGCCAAACACCATCTTCAGTATAAAACATCACTTCTTCCTAACTGTTATCAGTTCTGAAACTGAACTCTGCACAGATACTGCTACACCTGGATTTCTCCAGCAATTTCTGACATTGTACACAGTATTACTGTTCTGAGTTTCATTATTCCCCTATTTGGTCTATGCTTCTCAGCAAACGGAATTCGTACTTTAGCCTGAAATATATGGTGCTTTCCATTTGACAGGGAAGCAATCACAAGTGTGCAGAGAATAGCCTTAAAGTCAAGGCAAGCCTCTTGGCTTTGGCAGCCCATATAAGAAAAGCAATAATTCATCTTGTGATTAACCTGGGAGTTATGGATGCCAATACAGGCCATCTGAAATGGAAACAGCCTCATGCTCCCATAAGTAACAGAACTTGGAATGAAGGGTATTTTTACAGAAAAAAGTTGCATACCACAATTTCAAATAATTACCCATGTTTTCCTGGCTTTTCTCTACTCACCCCAGGCATATACTCCATGAAAATTGAAAGAGTTTTCTCTGCTTTCTCACGGAGACAGCCATAGTATTGCACTATTCGCTCGTGCTGTAGGTTCTTCAGTAACTGAATCTCACACTCCAAAGCGCTTACTTCCTAACGGAGAAGATCCAAACAGAAATCCTGTCAATGTTGCTTGTGATTCCCTATGCCAGTTCTTTCCTTATTCTGGCTATAGATTTTCTCAAAGTACATTGATGGCAGATGTGTGAAACATATCCATACAAACAGTAGAAAAACATCCATTAATACAGTCAGACTTACTGGAAATTTCATGATGGATTTAAACAAAACATTTTGCCTCTAAGTTTATGATGTAGGGGACTAAGGAAGTAACATGCAGAAATATTGCACAGCAAATATTTGGCTCAAATGCAATTCTGCCTGCACTCAAAAAACACTTCATATATTAATATCTCATTTCAATAATGGCATCTGGAGCAATGCCAGACTGCAGGGAAAACTGAATTGCACTTTTAGTGTTATCGAAGGCTCTAAAAATCAGACTTACATTTTATTACGGTTGTGGTAAATTGTTAAATTTCAACATAAACATGTTTGTATCTGACATTTTTATCTGTGTAAACTATTACCACATAAAATAATTGTAGTTGTCTCCATGCTGGAACAATCCAAAAATAACATTGAAATGTCTCTCCCACACACTGTGCTGAGTTAGCTGATCTCAACTGAGGAAAGACAAATACCCTAATGTGGATAGAGGAAAAATTACAGCCAGGATTTTCACTTCTTGAGGGTCATTTTGACTGTTGCTAATAGTGTAAGATAGTGACATTGATTCATGCACTCATTATTCATCACTCCTGATTTCACTTTGATTAACATCAATCGCAACGAGAATTAGGAAGAATGCACAGTGTCAAAGAGAGAATTGATATTCATTCCTTTTAATTTATTTTTGTGATGCATGGATGATCTATTTAAGTGTCCAATGCCTCTAAATGTTTTTGTACTGCTTAACTTAAAACTGAACTTAAAACTGTCAGGACTTGGGGTTACATCACAACCACGTCTGATTTTTACTCAGGAAAGAGAACAAAGGGGAATTTTGATTTTGCATTAGTGGAAAACGGGTCCAGTTGATTCCAAAGGTTCCACGAAAGCTGCACAACTATGTCGTGACCTAAAATCCCTCCATCCCCATGCAGCTTACAGGGAACCATTGGAAATGCTATCATCCAAGCAGGCTGCGATGCAACCCTAAGTCAAATAACCTGCTGTTATAACTATGCCACCTGGGGATGAGGTTTTGTGAGATATAACTGAACCCGACTCCAGTATGAGTCTCTTTGGACTAAAGGACGATCATCCTCCAACACCCTCAATTGAAACATTTCTATAAGTAGTTCCTAATGCTGTAATGTCCACCAATGCTTTGACTATAGTACTTGGTATATTTTCCCTCCGTCCCTCTTTGTCATGACACAGGAAGTATCCAATACATTTTCTAAGTTTTAAAAGGAAACAGCCCTCAGGGAGATAAAGTAACCACCCTGGAACACAAGTGGTTTGATAAATCATAGTCATATAACAATGAAGGAACTAAATTAGAATTGGACTAAAATGGTAACTTCAAATGTCACCCCAACCCACGAAATAAGCAGAAAAATCACTTAATTAATTGATGTCTGTGTCTCATTTGTAGTTTCCTGGTTCATTGAACATAATCTTCTGTTCACCTATATTGAATACCTGCTGTGTAAAGCCTGAACCCTTTGGATGTGGGATTGACAAGGAAAAGGGCCAATATATTTAAGTGCAACAGCATGGCTAATTTAATGTCAAACTCTCGTACACACACAGCTGAACAATTACTGATTGCTATTTACTTGCATACCGCAGCACTTTAATTAACTTTCTCCTACAAAATACTTGAGAAAATGGAAGGGAGGCATCAGGGTCAAAATTTTAAAAAAAGTTAAATTAGCAGGCAGCAGTTAAGTGACAATAAACTACTGCTTGAAGATCTGAAAATTGTAGATTCAAGGACAAGTAGATTCAAAGGTAGAATGGTGCGGAAGAAACAATTCATAGAAAATAGTGTGGTCAGTCTTGAGGCAAGATTGTGAGACTGCAAACACAGCATCACAGTTGAAGCTGAGGAAGAAGTGAAGAAAGTTCACAGTAATAACTATTATGACAGCAGTGTTGACATGGAGCTGAGACAGGTTGCCACAGAGAGCGAGGTGGAGCCTAGGCTAAAAGCTCAGAGACATTTCTCACCTACGGATGGCTTATTTGGTTGGGTGGGGAGTTGACATAGGGTTAAGACCCAATTTCCAGCTTCTTGTGCAACTACCAAACACACACATTTCTAGACAGACTGGACTGTAATCAGGAGTGCAGCTCTGCCCCTTTTGCTCATCGTTACTCAAGAGAGGGAGAGATGGCAATTCCAGCATGCCTAATTGCATCATGATTTAGATCATCCAGTTTTGCACAAATGGAGATCAAGTCCAGACTCTTTGAGGCACGTGTCCCAGCTGAGCTGTCATTGGAGTTATACAGCACCAGGTCAACTAATACATTCCATGATCAGTCATGGAGACTGAAGATCACAGCACTTACCTTGCTGGTCTCAAGGCTGTCAGGGTCAAACTGAACTTGTTTAGCGGCAAGTTCACGTCCTGTGTCTACATCGTAACAGAGGTAGACACGTCCAAAAGCTCCTTGTCCCAGCAGTTTTCCTCTCCTCCAGTTGGTAGGTGCACTTGGTGCTGTAATATTAACCGAAAATTTGAATTAAATGTTGCTATCAATATTAAAATGTAGTTAGTATTTAAAGACATGCACAGTGCAATCCAGATGTGGAGCAAACATTGCCAATACAAAGTATTTCACACAATGAATTATGTCAGTTCGGAGAAGTCAGACATACAAGCAGCATCCCCAGGAAGTTATTTGTGTTCCGTGTGCAAAATAAAGTATCAGCAATGGGATCGGATGTCATTTAAAGAACAGGCCTTGGTACAGCTTTGTCTATTTAGCAGACGTGAGCTCAGATAATTACAATTTAAGCAAAACCATAATATCTATGCATCCATAACACTGATGCCCAAGCAAACCCCTCTATGCTGGTCGTGCCTTAATTCCCAGGTGGTGTTGAGTGGTGGTAAATAATGGGAGGCATTCACCTATTTGGAATGATGCAGGTTCTTAGGTTCATTTTGTTACACAAAATTAATCCTTGTAAAATAATCAGTTTTATCAAGAGACTGCACTGGGGAGACTTTTATGATTAGCATTTTGATAACAGCTTGCAAGCAATGCAAATATCCTGTTCACTAAATGTTATTTACAGAGTTGTTCCATCTTCAATAAATTTGCAGCTTACAGAGATCACTTGGTAGTGTGGTAAACTTCAGGCAGTCTCACAGGACCACTTCATAACTCTGACTCACAAGGAACTACGTGTGTGCCCATATGTGTGTGGTAGAGGTTAGTCAGTGATCCAGAACTCAGGCATACCAACTGCAAAACCTAACACCTAGCAGCATATATTGTGCAAAAGAATGGTTGAGTGAAACAATCAAAGGCCCTCCCCGTAAACTCAGGCACAGTCTGGGTTAGAGTTCCACAACAGGTGATACCAAGACTTTACACACATCCTAGATGACAATTTCAAGTATTGTGCATTCTGGGCATAAAGATATTTATCAAATATCAATTCAGAATTAATTTGGAGTTAATTGCTTCACATCTTAGTTTGGACTAATAGGGTGGGTTTACCTAATCCACACTGGTTATTATTTGAGATGCCTCATTTGACAACAGTCAAATCTCTTAAAGCTCATCCCATTATAAGTTGAAATCTGTTTATTTGCTTCCCACTCCAAAGCAGTGACTGGAGCTAAACAAAGTATATTAAAGATTAGTTAACAGTTGGGCCGTGGAACAGCATTGCCTGTGCATAATCTCTCCACATCTGTTCACTTGAAACTGACTGTATTCTCTTGAATGTGGTATTTTAGTCTTTAGAGCAGCGAGTACTCTTTGTAAACTTGGGAAACGTCTAAGTGGGGACCATTGCTTTCAGATAATACAAACTTAGCACACAAATGCAAAAACATCTGAAGTATGGTCTGCCCTGCAAAACCTTCAGTCACCTGTACTTCAGTGGTCTGATCAGAACCCTGTTCTGCCATTCAGTGAGACCAAGGCTGATCTATGGTCCAACTCCATCTACTGTTGTCCAATATCCCTTAATACTTTTGGTTAGCAAATCCATATCAATCTCAGATTTAAAATTAACAACTAATGTAACAACAGTTGTAGTATAGAGAAGAGGGTTTTGAACTTCTGCTACCCTCTACAGAGAAGTATTTCATTTCTGAACGATCTGATGAACTTTTAGACCTTTCCTACACTTGCCAGTCAGCAGATATAGTTTCTCTCTTTTTACTCAATCCGTTTCCTCTGACACCCTGAAAATGTCAACTGAATCCCAGGGAAGAGTTCCCTAGTTTGCACCTCTCTTGGCCCTTCTTTGTGGATGGGGTAATAGAAAGGCTGCATTCATCAGTTGTGTGCCCAGTGGTGGCTAGCCAGGCCTGTGACTGACAGATTCTCATAGTGGGGGCAAGTGAAGGTATAGCTGCTGGTGGTGGGGATAACGGAATCCATCCTTAAGATCTTTTTGTCTTTCATGCTGGTTCTTTGTTCAGTTCCAAAATGCCTGTAAACACTTGACGTAGAATTTCCAAGCATTATGATCTGTGGTCTGTGCTTCCCACTGGTGATGGCTGATGTGGCACACGGAGGGGATTTCTTCAAGTAAGACTTTGAAACATGAGTGGCGTCCTCCCTGTTCTGTTTACCAGTGGTCAGCTCTCGATGCAACACCTCAGTCAGGCGATTGTCATCCATCCAGGGTTAGCTTTGCTGCAGGATGATTTTGATGCTGGTGATGTTGGCTGTTTCCAGGACTTCAATGTTTATGATACAGTCCTGGAAAAAGATCCTGAGGATTCTGCGGAGGTAGCACTAACGGAAGTGCTCTGGAAGGCGTACATATCAGCAGTACAGGACCTACGACTTGATACCATACCGAAGGTGGTGAGGACTATGCTTTGTGCAGTTTGAGTTTGGTCTGTGCTCCCGAAGCAGTGGCTGCTCCAGACTTGTTTGTCAAGTCCATCAAATGTGCTGTTTGTGTTAGAAAATTTTACATGCCCTTGTCATCAACAAAACATCGCTTCCCAAATTGCTTGATGGTATTCAGCTCAATTCCCTCACTGACAATGCTTGATGGTCAATGTTCTTCTTGGGTTCAGGTTACGCAAGACTCTTTAAACTAATTACTAGACTTAAGAGTCAGTTGCCTTGGGAAAACATGTTGTTATACATTGCAAGTATGACGGACTGTGGTGAAGGGAACATACCACCAGCAAAAATAAGTTCATTGATGAGCTTTTCCTGTGTCTTTGTGGGAGCCTGAAGATGCTTGAGGCTGAAAAGATCTCCCACCAGACTAGTAGCATACATAAGACTTCTGCTCAAGATCTTCCATTGTTTCCTTCAGCATCATCATGCTTCATTCAACTGGAGATTTGGAAGATGCTGCTGTGAACTTGTCTGTGCCAAGTTTGTGCAATAAAAGCAAAATACTTTGGATGCTGGAGATCCAAAAATGAAAGCGTTGGAAAAACCCAGAAGTTTTTTCTAATGTTCTGTTTGTGTACTCTCTTCCTATCATTTTGATATTGAATTCCAGGAACCATTCTGATAAATCTACACTGCACTTCCTCCACAGCCAACAGAACTTTCTTACTGTGGTACCTAGACAGCCTGCAGTATTGTGATCCAACTAGAAGTATGATTCCGCACAGGATGAAAGTCATCTGGATTTAGCACCTAGCATTACATTCGCAATCTGAATATTTGTGCAGCTGGACTACCAAGCCTCTAAGCACCAATTCTCAATTCTCTTCATCCATTGGAAAGTACCATGATCGATTGTTTTTAGAATAAAGTGGATGATCTTGCACTTGCTCAGATTGAAATAAGCAAAACTGTGGCAAATGGATTCCATTCAGTTTATTAAATTATCTTCGCAATTTTAGGTTTCTATCTACATTGTTTAAATTTTGTCATAAATGCACATGTGTGGTTTTTATCTTATTAACCCAACCATTAATAAAACAGGGAATAGTTGAGGCACTAAAACAGCTCCTGTGGGACACCATTAATTATATCCTGCCAATTAGAGCACCTATTATCCCTACTCACTGTCCCCTTGTCACTCAGACAATTTCCTAACCATGATATTGGTGGTATGTTATTTGCTTGTTTTAAAACAGCTTATTTCATTGACACACCAAAAGTGACAAGTTCCCCACTGCTCTCTGCCACATAGAAGGACAAGGACAGCAGATGTTCCAAACACCATCGTCTAAATGCTCTACTCCAAGTAATGCAGCACCCTGACTTAACCTATATTGTTGTTCCTTCACTGTTGCGGTGTCAAAATCCTGGAGCTCCCTTCCCAATAGACTGCGCGGCAGCTCAAGGTGGCAGCTCATTGACACCTTCTCAAGGGGAATCAGGAAGGAGCAAAACACACTGACCTAGTCAGTGACACACCAATGAATGAAGAAATTTTAAAAGTTTGTAAGTTTTTCTATTAATACACTTATTGCATGATTACAATGCTCAATCATTCCATAGGCAATATTTTGCAGTTCTCAGTATTGTATTTAATTTGATGATGCTGCAGAATTAAATATTTCATTAAATCTGCCTGCAGTTTCTTTTTGCTTTTAGTTACATTGAGGTAGATATTAAACTATAATAAATTAAGTACAGGCACAAATCATAAATTACTGCATGCCCCCAATTCTGAACTTCGTCATAATATTCCATCAGTACTCCCTTTTTCTACTTCACATCTTATTCATATATACAGAGGAGAAGGCTGCTTGGTACCCTGAGCCTGCCGTGTCATTCAATTAGATCACAGTTGATCAGATTCTAAACTCACATCTACATTCTCACCCACTCCAACCTTTCGCTCCATTGCTTAACAAGAATCTATCCACCACTGCCTTAAAAACATTCAAGAATTCCGCTTCGATCTTTTCAGGGACAGAGTTCCAAAGACTCATGACCCTCGGAAAGGAAAAAATATTGCCTCACCTGCTTTAAAGGTGCAAGCCCTGATTTTTGAACAGTGATCCCCAATTTTAGGTTCTCTTAAGAAACAATCTCTCCACATCTACACTTTTAAGACCTCTGACAATCTTATACTTCTCAAGGTTAGAGGATAAACGCCTAGCTGGTCTAATCTTTCCTCATAAAACAATTTTCCCACGTATTAAGAGACAAGGTGCAGAGCTGGATGAACACAGCAGGCCAAGCAGCATCATAGGAGCAGTAAAGCTGACGTTTTGGGCCTAGACTCTTCATCAGAAAATCACGTATTAAGTCTGGTAAACCTTTCAGAGTCATAGAAATCTATAGCACAATTGGTTATAAGCAACCAGCTAACTCTCCTAATCCCACTTTCCAGCACTTGGCCCACAGTTTTGTGTGGCTTGGCATCACAAGTGCACATCTAAATACTTTTTAAATGTTATTAGGGTTTCCGACTCTATCATCCTCACAGGCAGAATGTTTCAGGTTCCCACCACTGTCTTGGTGAAAAAGTTTTTCCTCACATCTCCTTTAAATCTCTGGTCATTGATCAAGGGAAAAAGTCTCTTCCTGTCGATGTACGTAGTGCTCCATTAAGGTGCAGCTGCTAAGACATTGGTACTTTTGTGAAACTGGAACCTCTCTGTATCGGTGTTGGTTGTGGAATGTTAGCAGAGAGAACATCACCTTTTCCATGATGTTTGTACTTGATGCAATCCTATACTTGACATTGAACAGCAATTGGGAAATTTACTCCAGTATCACCTCTCTGTGCTTATGTCAAGCGCAGATGTACCCAGCTTCCCTACTGTCACTATTACACTAAGATCAGCTTATCAGAAATCAAACCGAAGACTTGCTGGTCAAAACAAAAAAACACTTTAAAGGGTCACTTCCTTGGGAAAATAATCCGAAGTTTAAACACACAACCAGCCATCTTTGTCTAATGAGAGAGTGGCCTGTGGACCTCTGGGACTATGGCAACATTACCATATTATGACAATTGATAATTGTTACATGGTCATCATTAGATTAGCCTTTTATTCTAGAATTTTTAAATTCAAAATTTCATCATCTGCCATGGTAGGATTTGAAGTCATGTCCCCGTGACCTTAGCCTGCAGCTCTAGAATCACTAGTTCAGCCATATTACCACAACATGACTATCACCAACACCCACAAATATTTCAATATGAATTTGAATGTTGCCCTGTTCAGTTTCCCAAGTTCTACCCATAACAGACTTATGGACATTGGCCCAAATCTCCGAGTCTCCAAATATTCAGAAATTGGTCATGTCCTGGAAAATGTGGGTTAGGATTATGCAGAGGTTTCAAAACACTGGCTATGTGGAATCTGAATAGGAAGCTGAAATTTCCAATGGGCAATTACTCAGCACCTGGAACCTTCTGAAACTGAGTTAAAAGTTGAAGACTTCAAAGGGTTTGGCTTACTTAGCTAGCCACCCAAAAAAGGTTGAATGAACCAAAAAGTTGCTCTAACTCTCAATTGTAAAACTGACACCCCAAGTACTCACAATGGCCACTCCCCCACCAACCCCCATCCAACTAATTTGGCCTATCTACATTCCTCTGCAGATTCTTGGTGTCATCTGCATCACTTGCCAACCTGCTTATTTTTGTGTCATTGGGAAACGTAGCAATAGTATATTCACTTTCCTCATTCAGGTTATTAATATAATGCAAATAATTGTGGCCCCAGCACTGAACGTTCTGGTACCTCACTAATTACTGGTTACCATCCTGAAAATGCTCCCTTTACCTCAACTGCCTGACTTCTGTTAATTTGATAATTTTCCATCCATACTCATTTATTACCTCCACCATCAAGGGCTCTTATCTTCCAAAGTAACCTTACTTGTAACACTCATGTAATATATTTGGATTTCCAAAGGTATTCAATCTACTGGTTCCCTTTTATCTACCTGCTAAATGTTACAGTATTAGATTCTTTATAGTAGATGCTAACATCTTCCCAACGACTAACATGCAACTAACTGGTCCATAGTTACCTGGTTTTGTTTGCCCCCTCTTTTTAAATAAGGGTGTTTCATTGGCTATTTTCCAATTGGTGACTTTTCCACAATCTAAGGATTGATGGAACATTACTGCTAGTGCATGATTATCTTGGTAGCTACTTTCTTTATCATCAGATGCAACTCTGCTGCCACATCCTAAAAGGTATCAACTGCCATTCACCCATCACCCTGTGCTCAATGATCGACAAGGGAAAGGGTAAAGTTCTCATATTTGTTTTCAAATCACTCCCATGGTGTGGCCCTGTCAAACCTTTGCAATCTTAAACCCTGTAACCCTGTGAGCTATCTGCACGCTAACTCTGGAGCTTGAGCATCCCAGATTTTAAATGTTTCCACTGTTCAGCCTTCAGCCTACTAGGGTCTGAATTCTGGCATTGCATCCCTACTTCTCCTTCCTTCTTTAGGACACTCCTTAAAACTTCTATCTTTGACTGAGCTTTTGGTAATTCTGTCATAATATTTCCTTATGTCGTTCAGTGTCATATTTTTTGTTATAATACCTCTGTGAAGAGTCGTGACAGTTTTATTACTTCTATTTAAATAGCATTTTTAATGCCATTGTTGTTGATGTTGCAGACTCCTAACACAGTCATTACATGGTATGGGGAAGGTAGAATGGTAGTAAAGGTGTTAGGTTAAAGCCTGGAAATAGGAATTCCAATCCCATCATGGAAGGAGTGTAATTTAAATTCACTTAATTAATCAATACGAATTCAAAGGCCATGACTATCAAATTACCATCAAAACCATCAGGTCAAACACAGGCAAACAAATCTCCTGATGATTACCATCTTACCAACACCCTTCTATGTGTGATGAATTAATGTTTCTCCAAGTTAGTTGAAGAAACACTGAGGCCAAAAAAAAAGCGCAGCAACATAGGTACAAGCAAAGTCAGTCAGGAAAGGAGAGAGGGTATAAGGACAAAAGGTGCATCAACAAGTTAGAAAGATTAGTAAAAGTAAAGGCTCTTTATCCAGTGCTCAAAACATCTGCAATAAGATAGGTGAACTAGAAGCATAAAAAGAGAGATACATGATTAGATCTATTATTCAGGAAGACAGACAGATTAATAGACTGGGTAGGGTGACTTCAAAGTAATTCTAATGGGCCAATGTCAGCTGACGACAAACTACAGCTAGGAACGGCTCACTAAATGGTAAGAATAAACGTAGTGGAGGAATGGACACATTAGGATTCACATGTAGAAAGTAGACGGTTAAGTAGCTAACGCTTTCAATTAAAAAAAGGAAGCAAGATTTTATATTTTACAGGCAGGATTTTGTAAGGCAAAAGCAAAGAGATAATACCAATACCAATGATTCAGAAAGTAGTTAGAAATTGGAGTTTAATTTTAGACAACCCACTGTAGAAAGGCAATCCAAGGCCACGAACAGGACTCACCGTGATACTAAGGATAAAGAGCCTTTGGTTGTGAGGAGATACTGCAGACAACTGAGGCTCTTCTAATCAGAACAAAGAACATTAAGGGAAAAGGATGCACAGGAGATTCACCAGGATTTTGCCTGGACTGGAGTATTTCAGCTATGAACAGAGACACTACGTAGGATAGAATAGTTTTTCTTTGAGCAGAGGAGGAGGAGAGGAGACTTGATTCAGGTGTACAAACATATGATGGGCATTGATAGGGTCAACAGGAATAAATATTTGCCTTTGGGCTCAGACTTTATTACCAGGTGCAAAGATTTACGATAAAAGGCAGGAGCCTTAGAGGAGTTAAGGAGGATATTTTTCATCCAGATGCTGGTGGGTATATGGAACTCACTTTCTTAAAGGGTGGTAGATACAGGAACCTTTAAGTAGTATTTAGACGAACACCTGAGATGCCATAGCATACAAGGTTATGGGCCAAGTGGTGGAAATTGGGATTAGATAGGTGCTCAGCCACCAGAGTAGACATGATGGGCCAAAGGACCTCTTTCTGAGTTGTGATATTCTATGATTTTATAAGAATGTCTAATATTACCAAGTGTCGTAAGATAAGTAAACATACTTTTAGCAATAGACAAGTCAATAATAAATATGATACTAGATATTTAACAATGTTTTCTACTCAGCGTTATTGGGTCATGGAATGTTTCTGGAGAAACAGTGGTGGAATTAAATACATAACAGTTTCAAAAACAATAGTGGATCATTGATAGAAAAAGTGCATAATTCTTTCAGAGGGCAGGCACAGACACCAAAGGACTGAATATTTGCTGATTCAATTCTGTTTGCAATTTGAATTCAGTCTTTACGGAAAGAAATAGTTTGCTTTGCTGCAAGTCCACACTTCACAGACCCTATTGCATCCTTGTGCCACAGTTCTAATGCATCTGTTCGTGCTGTGTTCGCAATGAAACGCTTAATGAAGGTATTGAAAATGAAACAAACTTGATCACATGCAGTACTGACAATGTACTTGCAAAGTACATGAAATTATGATAGCAAAATAAAGGTCGACTTACATTTAGTGGGAACATTCCTCTCTTGCACTGAGAGAGTATTTTCGATGTCACCACTGCGAATTCTCCCCCTGCTGTCAATGTATTGAGCAGCCAAGCCCATATTCTCCCCATTTGTACTCAGGGATCTGCTGGACGGGACGAGAGTAAACAGGTTCCCCTGCTGTCGGCGAATCCTTGGGAAGGTTCTCCGTCCTGAAAAACAAAACAAATAACCGTCTAAGCAGCTGAAGACTCGCATTTAAGCTTTGAAAACCAACAGCAGTTAAGAATCATGCAAAACGTCAGCTGCAAATGCCTTGCAGTGCTTGCATTAGGGTCAAGTAATCTTTTTTACTCCTATCACTGACTCTTCAGACTCTTGAAGGGAATTGAATCCTTATCATTTCAACATGAGCCAATTCTCCCAAGACCACATTCATATTTGAGTGGCAGTTTTGGCAGTCTATTTACCCCACAGGGACATCATAGCCATTCTGTTCACCACCTCACCAAATGCTTGAGAGCAGGTAGGCTGCTGCCCCAGGCTCAACATGTACGCTCAAGCAGTCAGAAGTGTTGACACCAGATTCATTAGCCGCACTCACAAGATAGTGCAGAACATCACCCAGGCACAATGCAACGCCATCCATCCTCTCAAGACCAATCGCAACATTATCATCAAATCAGCAGACAACGGAGGAGTCATTGTCATATAAAATAGAAAGGACTACTGCAAGAAGTATACCGACAACTGAACAATCAGGAACACTACAGACAACTACCTGATGGTCCAACCAAACAACACATCCGTCAACTCAACAGACTGATCAAGACTTTTGATTCAGACCTTCAGAGTATTCTATGCCCTTTCATCCCATGTACTTCTTGCGTAGGAGACTTCTACTGCCTTCCGAAGACACACAAAGCCAACCCATTGTATCAGGCAATGGGACCCTGTGTGAGAACCTCTCTGGCTATGTCCAAGGCATCTTGAAACACATTGCACAAGGAAACCCCAGCTTCTGTTGTGACACTACAGACTTTTTACAGAAACTCAGCTCCCATGGACCAGTTGAACCAGGAACATTCTTCATCACAACGGATGTTTCGGCGCTCTACACCATCATCCCCTACGACAACAGCCTCGCTGCAACAGCCTCCGTACTCAATACCTTCAACTACCAATTTCCAGATACCATCCTACAACACATGCACTTCATCCTCCATCATGCCTTCACCTTCGACAACCACTTCTTTATCCAGATACATGGAACAGCCAGAGGGACCAAATTTGCACCCCAATATGCCAACATTTTCATGTACAAGTTCAAGCAAGACTTCTTTGCTGCACTACTGACGACATTTTCTTCCTTTGGACTCATGGCGAGGTATCACTGACACAACTAGATAGCGATACCAACAAGTTTCATCTCACCATTAGACTTACTACAGACTATCCTTCAGAATCAGTCTCATTCTTGGACACATGCATCCCCATCAAGGACAGACACCTCAGTACCTCACTCTACCACAAGCTGCACTTCTCTAGCTTCCACCCTAAACACATTAAAGAAGCCATCCCCTACGGACAAGCCCTGCACATACACAGGGTCTGCTCAGTTGAGCAGATCCATGATGGGCACCTGAAGGTTTTGAAAGACGGTCTCATAAGAATGGGGTACGATGCTCAACTCATTGATCACCAGTTCTGAAGTGCCACAGCGAAACACCGCAACGGAGTCCTCAGAAGACAGACACAGGATACAACCGATAGAGTGCCCTTCGTCGTCTAGTACTTACTCGCAGAGGAGAAACTGCACCATGTTCTTTGCAGCCTTCAACATGTCATCGATGATGATGAGCATCTTGCCAAGGTCTTCACTACACCTCCACTTCTCACCTTCAAACAACCGCTAAACCTTAAACAGACCATTGTTTGCAGCAAACTATCCAGCCTTCAGGTCAACATCGACCACAACAGCACAAAACCGTGCTATGGCAAGCTTTGTAAGACATGTCACATCATTGACTTGAATACTACCATCACACACGAGAACACCACCATCCACATTCATGGCAGATACTCATGTGACTCGGTCATTGCTGGCTATATCGTACGCTGCAGGCAAGGATGCCCCGAGGCACGATACATTGGTGAGACCACGCAGATGCTACGACAACAAATGAGTGGACACCATGTAACAATCGCCAGACAGGGACGTTCCCTCTCAGTCGGGCAACACTTCAGCAGTCAAGGGCATTCAGCCTCTGATCTTCGCTAAGTGTCCTCCAAGGCACACTCCAACATACGTAACAATGCAGAATCGCTAAGCAGAGACTAATAGCCAGGTTTCATAGCCATGAAGACAGACTCAACTGTGATCTTGGGTTCATGTTGCGCTACAGGTGATCCCACCGTACTGCTCTGTATCTGTAAAATGTTCCTTACTTTCTTGTTTTGACACCATCACCTTGACAAATTGTTATGATATCTCTACCTTAATTAGTTTGTACAGTTTTGAACTACACACATACTCAAACTCACACATATACTCTTGCACAGACACATATGTACTGTCTCTCTCCCTCCCTCACGCACATATAAATCTATGGAGTGAATCATTTCATCCAAGATGTTCGTTTATTTACAGATACATTCTATTTTGCTCAAAAAACACAATTTGTAGTCACAGTCAGTGTGACATGTTATAAATTCCAGCTTTCGGAATAAAACTAGCCTGATTCCGGGTTGAAACTCCAAGACAGATTCTGAACAAAGCCTTTTGCCTACAATTCAGAGATGTCACCTTTTGTATATCCCAATGGCTCTGCCTAATTGTCATAACAGCACAGTATGGACATTGACTTTATAAACACTTTTCACACTGACACTCTTGGTCACCTGCAGAAACTTATCATGTGACACTCCACTCACATCAGTTGTATGATCTTTTGATCTCTCTGCCTATAAACTCTGTGTCTGTGTGCCTTGCTCTCTCTCTCTCTGCACTTGATGAAGGGGCCGTGCTCTGAAAGCTTGAGAGATTCTAAATAAACCTGCTGGACTATAACCTGGTGTCATGAGACTTCTGAGCAGGAAATCTAGTCAGCTGTTGTACCTCAATTTTTGCCTCAGCTGAAATCTGATAACTCAGCAGTGGCCAGTTATCAAAGCTGGCCTGAACTAAATTATGTCACAGGTACTAATTAAAGAAAACTGTCTGTTGCTATATCTTCAGATCAACAGCAGTCACACTAGAAGTATCAATAGCCTTGGAACACAGGGGAATCCTTTAGATTCTAGTTTATCACCACTGTCTATTAATCCTATGCTGAAAAGTGATTTAATCTCATCTAACTATGGTTGATATTGGCAGCTGCAATGCAAAATTCAAGTAGTGGCAAATTTATTCACTTTCACCTTCAAAGACAATTCAGCACAGAAATGACAATCATGGTACAGCCCCATACACAAAGATACAGACAGGCTTAGTTTTGATCCTCAGGCTGTTCTGAAGTAACTGATCTCAGGCAGAGAGGTAAATGCAAATTAGGAAAAGTAGGACATGCAGTTCCTCAAATCTGCTCTGCCATCTGATAAGATCATGCTTGACCTGATTGTGGTCACTACTTTCTTGTCTACACCTATCTCCTTTGACTCCTTGTCAGCCAAGAATCTAATTCAACCCTAAAAATAATCAACAAGACTACCTTCACGGAGGAAGAGAAATAGACAGCCTAGTGACCCTCAAGAAAAAAAAAATCTCATCTGTCTTAAACGGGAGACCTTTTGTTTTTAAGGTATGTCCACTAGATCTAGCTTCTCTCAGAAGGGGGAACACCCTTTCTGCATTCATACTGTCATGCCTTCTCAGGATCTCATGCTTGAAGATCACCTCTTATTCTTTTAAACTCCAGCCGATACAAGTTTAACCTGTCTACCTTTCCACAGATAACTCCTTCATCCCAGAAATTAGCACTGCTGTTTCTGTAGCACCTGGTTTCATCTAAGTGTCAGAAGCTAAGGTGCAACACCACTCCTGACTGTCATCTCCCTACCTTAACAAAAACGTTCGCGTAGGTCAGAACCCTCTGTGAAACCACTTTAATTAAAAAGTCACACTGTGTGCATCAAGAGTGTGCTGAGGTTGTAAGAGAAATAAAATTATTTATACAGCACCTTTCATGACTTCAGGATGTGCCAATGCACTGTACTGCTGCTGAAGGACTTTTGAAGTGAACCACTGTTGTAATAGGAAATGAAGTAGTCAATATGCAAACAACAAGCTCTCAATCGCAGCAATGCAATAATGATCAGAGATAAGAAGCAATTTCTTCTGAAGGTAGTGAATCTGCGGAATTCTTTACTGCACAGGGTTGTTAAAGGCTGAAAAAGTTTTTTATACACCAGAAAGAGAATCAAGGGTCATGGGGAAAATAGTAGGAAAGTGGGGTTGAGATATATCAGATCAGCCATGATCTCACTGAATGACAGAGCAGACTCAATGGCCTGAATGACCTGCTGCTGCTTCTATGTCCTTGGTCTGATTTTGTGAATTTGCTCCAGGAACAAATGCTGGCCAGGACACCGGGAAGAATTTTCTTGTTAATTTTCAGGATTGTGCAATTGGATCTCTTATGTCTACTTGACAGCGCATATGCAATTTGTAGCATACTCACCATCTCCATAATCTTTCTGGTGGACAGGCATGTGGAACTGTCTGGGGTAGGTGCCCCCTTTTCCAGCTTTATCATAGATATGGTTCTCACGGTCTGAAGAAACACACAAAGAGACTTTGTAAACTTAAGATAGTACACGAGAAACCCAAATCTCTCTAATATCCAATGACATACAAACCTTTACACACAATGCATTGAATAGATAGAATACATACAGGACGCCAATGACTCTTCCAGTGTAATGTAAAAACTCCCCATTTGTCCATTTTCTACCAACTTATTCTGAGGGCACTATTGTTTCTGCATGGTTCCCTGTACATAAACCCTTCATTCTGTTATCGAAGTGTTCTATAAGGTGAGGGTCAGGCTATTGGCTATGGAACACATTGTATTCAACACTACACAACCAAGTCCAATCATATGCCCTGCAATCTTAATTGCTTAGCCTTTTGATGAATGCATCATAACTTTCATAACTCTTATGATTAAGTTCATAAATTAGGCAGCATTGGGAGGAGTTCACAGTTTGACTTCTTTGTAAAATTCCCTGTAAGGCAGAACCTACAGCATAGTACTGTCAAGTCTATAACTAAACTCTTATGTTGTAGAGTCATGAGTAATGAGTCATAGTGGATTCTCACACTTGTTTAAATTCAGATGGGTGTGTGCACTCTGCACTTGATTTTCAGATGTGCTGCCCTTCACCATGAAAAGCCCTTGACATTAAGGGGTTTAAAAAGCTCCACATAATATACGCACCTTCCTAGTTGCTTGCTCGCACACTTCCTCACGTCCCCAGTCACTTACGCTCCCTCCGACTCCTTCCCTCACACCCCACTCAAGGAAACGACCCTTCCTCACCACCTGTTCAAGGCCCCGATCCACCCTCCCTCACCTCCCCCCAGGCTCCCATATTCTCTCCCACACCTACTCCAAGTCCCCCACGTTCCCTCCCTCACTTCCCCCAAGTCCCCCACATACGTTCCCTCCCTCACTTCCCCCAAGTCCCCCACATTCCTTCCGTCACCTCTCCCAGTCTCTGAAGCTCCCTCCCTTACCTCTCCCAGTCCCCCTTGCCTCATCCCTCACCTACCCCCCGACAAGACGCCACACTCCCTCCATCACTCCTTATCCAATCCAGTCTAACACTCCACCTGTACTGTTGATGGAAGCATCAACATCCTTCCTGACTTTCACTCCTCTCTCCTCTTCCAATGCCCTGCTTAACTATCACCTTGACGACATTGCACCGTCAATCACAGAATGTTTCTTTCCTGCATTTGTTGCTACTAGACTCACTAATGCACCAATTAGAAGCAAATGTAGGACCTCTGATTGGAGGAGCAACTCCTTTCAAAGTCTTCCAGCCACACTGCCCTGCAGTTTGAACAGATGGTCGGCGTGCAACAAAGAATCCTTTGGCTGGCCACACTGTGGCCTGCAGATTGCCTGCTTTGCCAAATATTTTTTGAACTCCTCTCAACATCCTGTGAAAGTTCTCAAGCACACCTTTAAAGGAACAGACACCTGCTTGTCCTTTATGCCAATATAACTTCCTTTTTCCATTACTAGCCACTGTTGTAACTGCACTGGAGTGGACTTAAACCAGGTTTTCTTAATCAAAAAGGCATTGTGAAAACCCATTGCTTTAACCCGGGATAGCTTCTACTCAATCTGCTCTAATCTATCTATAGTGGAACCTCTGAAATGGCAATGAAAGACAATGAAAATATGATCTATAATACCAGAAAATAGCACACTCATGAGATGACTGTCAAACTCACCCAGGTACAGCTGTCTGTTGTCAGGATAACTCTGCGCTCTGGACATACGAGATTTTCGATATGATGGGCTGAAATTTTAAAAAGAAATTAGTTAATAATGTCAGCCACTGCACTGTGGCTAATCTGATTATTACTATTGATCAGTTATGGATATCAATGCAAAATCCGTGCCGCCCTTTGTTGGAAAGCTGAACTAAGCAAGTTTGCTTTGCAAGGAATAGCCACGAGTGAAAGCCTTCGAGGTGCATTAAGGTACTTGTTTTTGCTGCAGTGTCGTTGACCAATACTGATAGCCATTGAGATAGGTAAATGTTAAGTGGCATGCATTGTAATCATTGTCAAACTTTCAGTTGAGATTGCCCTGCCAGAATGTTGATTGGGATTAATCAGAAAAGACAACTCCAACTGTTCTAAGATAACAAG